CAAATATCATTGGCGTTAATCCTTTTCCACATCATCAAACGGTTTTATCAAATAAATCTAAAGTGATTTGTATTTGTCACACACAGTCTTCCAGTGCTGCCACTTCGAGTCCTTTTGCGCTGCCTTCCGTGGTGATGCCTTTCTGCATCTGCATCCTCGTCCTGCATCCCAGCTTCCCTCAAGTCCTTGCCCTTCCTTCATCACCGATGGGATCCCTACATGTCTGCTGCTCCACGCTTAGCTTGCTTCCGAGTTTTGGCTCTTCGTTTGGGTATTACAGATAGCAAGGCAGCTATGACACTACATGATTATAAGATTGCGATTCCACTGTTAAAACTAAAATTAAGCTTCACTTATTAAAGTAAATTACAAAAATCCCAATGTTAAATCTTTTAATAAATATTTTTAATCTCTATTCTTATTTAGTAATTCATGTTCTTATTATTCGTATAAATATTCAAAAGTCAGTGTGACCAACGCAAATTGTACTTTCTTGTAGAGTTAGGACATAAGCAACTTAAAAATTAGGAACAGTGCACTGAAGAATTCGCGTTCTGTATATGTATAATGTGTAGTATGTGTAAAATGGGTTATATCATTTTGTTACTTAAGCACCCGGTCTCTCATCCTGTTATTCCCAAGGGAATTCAGGGTATGAAGCATACTTTAAATTTAATTTAAATTTTAATCAATTAAATATATTAAATTGTGCTGACCTTGGGTCATTTTTAAACATCTGGTATGCTGACTCTTTTTTTATCACAGTGTTGTTTATGAAAATGAATCCTTGACATAGTGGGAGCAAATTAAATCTAAAACGGGGATGGATATTTCTGGAAATGGAATGAAAAACCTGAACTTTAACCTTATTGTATTTATTGCTGGAATTTCCTATTTTGATTACCTATTATTTACATATTTTAAAAGTTACTAACCAGCAGTTCAACTGGATATAATGAAGCCGGGTATTAACTCGCATACCCATTTATTTGCATACCTTGTCCCACTTCACCTTTGTCCGTCTGCACACCAATTAAACTTCAATTGCACAGGGGCGTGGGCAGAAAGGAAGGGGGTTGCTTCGGGGGAGCAGCTTTTTTAATTAAACTTTGCTGCTGATGCTGTTGCTGTTGCACTCCGGCACAATCCTCCGCCAATCCTCGAATCCCCTGCACTCCGAAATTGATGGCTTTAATTAGGCATCAGAGCCGCTGAAGTGACACTTTATGCGTATCCGGATCCAGGGGCGTAGTCAGCGGCAGAAAGAGGGGGCATGACCGGGATACAAATACTTATCGCTATAAATTAATCGAAGTTGGCTCGGCACAACGGCATCGGCATCAATAAGCGGCAATGCGGGAAAAACTTTGAAAAATGCCAAAAGTCAATTTTGGGGCTAACCCTGAAATCAGTCCAATTTACCCACCTCCCCCTTCCAACACCCCCCATTCAGTGTTAACCCTTTTCGAGGGGTGTAGTTTTCCCTTTTCGCCCGCTTTCTTTCTTTTTATTTCCATACCCTGTACTTGTTGGTGGGAAGGGGTCTGTTGGAACTTTAGGTATTCTTGTAAAGTTTTTATACCCGTTACTCGTAGAGTAAAAGGGTATACTAGATTCGTGCAAAAGTATGTAACAGCTAGAAGGAAGCGTTTCCGACCCCATAAAGTATATATATTCTTGATCAGGGTCACTAGCCGAGTCGATCTAGCCATGTCCGTCTGTCCGTCTGTCTGTCTGTCCGTCTGTCCGTCTGTCCGTCTGTCCGTCTGTATGAACGCTGAGATCTCAGAAACTACAAAAGCTAGAAGGTTGAGATTTCCCACACATATTCTTTGGCTTCCTACGCAGCGCAAGTTTATTTTAGCCGAGCGCCACGCCCCCTCTAACGCCCACAATCGCCCACTAACGATTTTAAAATGGGTCCTGCGCCCACATCTTTAAAGATTTCCGAGAAGTATAAATGCAATTTTGTTGTGTATATTTATACCTATCGAAATGTAGAAGACATTTTTCAAATCGTACCATTCATTAAAAAGTTATACGCAATCAAAAATTATATATCTATCTCCCTCGCACTCCCTTTAGCTGAGTTACGATTATTAGTCGGGACACCAACCCGACACAGCGTTCGCACTCCCTTTAGCTGAGTGACGGGTATTAGATAGTCGGGACAACAACCCGACTATAGCGTTCTCTCTTGTTTTTTTTTTCAAAATACTAGAATTTTAAGTGAGTTATCCATTCTACCCACCTACAATTTTCCCATATCTAAATACAAACAATAGGTACCACCAAGTCCATTCCTTATTTTTTTTCGGCTCCACTGCTTCAATTGCCATGAAATTTATATGCCGTCGCTCAGCGTGAACTTGATGCGCATAAATCCACATGAAACGGATATTAAAAAGCATGAAACGAGCCCATCTTAACCCTCCACATCCGTATTGACTATGTATTATATAGCTGATTGACTCGAAGGATCCGTGTTGTTGGCTTTGTTGGCTTAAATTATGAACTTATAAATTGACAGCGGGCCAAGGAATGCTGGACATCCCATGCCCCTTATTTCTAGACTCTGGCATTGTTTTGTTGTCAAACGAAGAAGAAGGGTCAAGGGATCTTAACTAGATTTTTGGCAAAGGGTTTAAGGGCCGCCGGACGCGAGTCCTTTTTCCTGGCTCAGATAATTGACATTTTGTTGTGAAAACGATAAACGATAGGAAGGGGGTTAGAACAAACAACATATAAATAACTAAAGAGGAAATACACGAGAAAGTTATCCGATTAGAACTCTTTATAGGCATTCAACAATCGAAATAATTGATAATTAAATTCCCAATACCCTTTAAATATTTTATACAACCAAAAATAATCAAAATACTCAAAGTAAACCCACCAATCGAAGCATAATTCATTCAACAATCGAAATAATCGATCGATAAACGATTAAAATATGCGAAAATAAATAGAAATACATGTTCCCAATACCCATTGAATATTTGATGTGACCAAAAATAATCAAAATCCTCAAAGTAATCCCACTAATCGATCCCCAACGGCAGTTTCTGATAGATATGCAAATGCCCGATAAACCAATCGATTATTCACAACAAATTCCCCCGCCGAGCTGCACTAATCTGCAGTAAAGTCCTGACCATTCCAGTGCGAAGGAGTCGTAGAGTCGGACTTCGGGCACTAATGGCCTCATAAATATGCAACACGAAACTGGATGAGCTGGGCTCCACCTGGAGGAGGAGCCAGGAACCAGGAGGCTCTGACTCTCCATGGCAATTCAATTCAATTCGGCTTACTGTCAGTTGTATCTGTAAGTGGCATTTCCATCTCGAAGAGAAGATCCTTCCAGCCTGCGCTGCCGTTGGCATATTTGATTTTGTAATTTGCATTTGATAAGCGACTGTGGGCAGGACGACTTACCCCCGGAGCGATGTCCTTGTCATTGTCCTGGCCTTGGCTACAGTTTCGGCTGGGTTCTGTGGGTTTTCTGGATTCCTCCCCCTTTTTGACGGCTCCAACTTGCCAGTGCAGCCTTTTGTTTTGTTTTAATTCCATTGAAATGAATTTATCTGTGCCAAACCAGCTGGGGAAAACTCAGTTTGTTTGTCTTAAATTCCATTATTTTGCGGCAAACCCACAAAGATTTCCCATTTCAGAGTTTGCTTGAATATAGGTACCATAATATATTGTTTATTCTGAATTCTCTTCAAACAGGCGCAACTAAAACGAAATTATAACGAAAATATTCGAAATGAAAACCAGGATTCTAAAAATATTGCTTAAGAATAGTCACAATTCAATCATAGAATAACGCATTTATCACAATTTCGGAAATTAATATTTGTATATATTCGAAATCGAAGAATCAAAAAAAGGGCTAATCGAATCAAAGAATCGTATCCAAATTTGGCAAAAACGTTAACTTTGAGTTCCTCTTCTCCGTTTCGTCGGGGTGATTTTTCACGTGGATGAGGTGGTGGTTCAAGGTCAAAGGTTGCTTAGCATACAACACATAGCGTACGGCTTTCATAAATACGTAGATAAATATGAGTACAAACGATTAGTATTAGATCCTTAACAATTAGTAAGTTGTACTTGGGTAGGAGTATAGTATAGTGTAGTATAGTATAGTAAGATGGGAAGACCCTCGGACTGCCGAGACTAGAACCCTTGCAAAGTGGGTTATTCTGAAAAGTTTACATATTGCAAAAGTAGTTTAAAAAAAAATCAAATATTTTTTTAATATTACATTTTTACCAGGGACCGTAAGTAATCTTTAATTCTTTTCCAATTTAACTGAGTAGAGTTTCCTTTTAATTTGGCTAATAGAATTTTAAAATAAAACTCAGTAATGATTAATTTCGGTCCCTAAACTTTCTCTTCTAATACTTTTTCTATTCAACTTTGCAAGGGCATTTAAATTCTAAAATTAAGAAACGTGTGCAACTTAAAAAAGACCTATTTTCCTTTTGCTCAAGACGTAAAATATGTATTGAGAATCATCGAGTTAAAGCAAAGGCGCAATTTTCCTGAAAAACGATTTTTCAATTATGTTTTTATGCATTTTCAAGTTCTAAACACACTCACCTTCGATTATCAAGGTTTTTTCGGCCAGCTTTGTTGGACGGGGCTGGAGAAGTAGAATTTCTCAGTGTAAAATTTTCTTAATAAATCTTCAAGAAAATTTCGAAACAGAGAAGTTCAACTATATATGTTTGACCACCTTTCGTACAAGAATAAATTGCGTTTTGGAGGTGCAATCTCGGTTAATACTGGTGTGCATATAGGGGGTATATATATACAGCTGGTTGTGTAGACGTGGCATTAGTTACCCCGTCTAGCTCCAACTTAAGAAGAATAGGAATACATCTGAATCCCGATCGCTCCCTCTCTCTCATCCCGATGCAGTAGTCTCTTGGCAAGGGAATCTGTGGAGGATCACTGGACCAAATGGTGGGGTTTCGATGATGGGGGATGATGGATCGATCGATCGATCGGTATGATAAATGTACGTTCGGCGCTGCCAACCGCTACTGCCGCATTACGTGCTACGTCCGATTTGCAACCAGGCGAGCAACAACTGCAATGCCGGCTGGAGCAGCACCAGTTTTCAGATATCTGTATTGATATTGATCCGCGTGAGAAACTCGCCGTGCGAATCGGCCACAGCGCGTATGATCTCCAGCAACAGTTCGCGCGACAAACCGGCTATTTTCGGCAGCCTGGCCACTTTGGCGAAATCCTTAACGATCAGCTTCAAGGCATACTCCTTGATGTCATAGATCTTGGTGATATCGGAGGCCTCCAGCGTTTGCAGCACGTTCTCGAACGTTATGTTGTGCTCCAGCGAGTATTTGCAGAAGGCGTGCAGCCGGTTGTTCGACAAACCGTAGAAACAGGGCGCCTGGAAGAGATACAGAGCATCCTGGGGCGGCATCTTCGTCTCGCCGTAGTAAATGTAGCGGAGAAGGGAGTGAAAGGCCTCCAGCGAGGGAGAAATTTCGCCAATTTGTATCTATAGCAAAGGGAAATTTAATTAAATTCAGTTTATATTATAGTAATCCAGGGATCCCTTACATTGACCGTGTTATCCGGCGGCATAAAAGATCGAAACATGCCCTGAAAATAAGTGCAACGCGATGACAACACCGACTTGTGGGCCGGTATCACGTGATCCTCCAGGACGAGGCTGATGTCGCAGAAATCGTTGCCAGTCGACTCGAGAAAGGCGCACAGATCGATCTCCAAGGTGGTGCCTGTTAAGAGAATTACCAATCAGCTAGGAATTTCGAGAATCAGCAAGGGGATCTCACCTATATTCGCCTCATAACTGGTGTCCATTACCAGCTTGCTGGGATGCAGACGCTTGCGTATGATCTCCACCAGCAGGGGCTTGTCCAAATCGCTAAACTCACTCGACATGACCACCTCGGTGAAGTTCTCGTCCTTGATGATGAACTGCATGCAGTGATCCTTGATGATCTTGATGCTTAGGGTAAAATATTCATTAGTTTAACTCAAAGATATAACAATGACGGGTAAAGGGAGTGCAAGGGTGATGGATATATACAATTTTGATTGCGCATAACTTCTTAATGAATGGTCCGAATTGAAAAATGTTTTCTACATTTCGATAGGTATAAATATACACAACAAAATTGCACTTAGTTTTCTCGGAAATCTTTAAATGTGTGGTCGCCAGACACATTTGGGCGATTGTGGGCGTTAGAGGGGGCGTGGCGCTCGGCTGAAATAAACTTGCGCTGCGTAGGAAGCCCAAGAATATGTGTGGGTAATCCCAACATTCTAGCTTTTGTAGTTTCCGAGATCTCAGCGTTCATACGGACGGACAGATGGACGGACAGATGGACGGACAGATAGACGGACAGACTTACGGACATACTTTATATGTACTTTATATACTTTATAGGGTCGGAAACGCTTTCTTCTCCCACATACTTTTGCACGAATACAATATACCCTTTTACTCTACGAGTAACGGGTATAAAGATATAGTCACCTACTTGCTCTTGTCCGCATTGTAGAGCGCCTCGAGAACGTTGAGCTTGTTTATCTTGTAGTCCAAATACTGGATACAGCCGTGGGCCAGCCGCGGCATGGTGAACAATCCGGCCAGTTGGTAGATGTCCGTGATCAGTATGATGATGTTCTTGCTATACGTCGTGTCCTTCAGATCGATGCGATCGGTGTAAATGTAGTTGAGTATGATGTCGAAGGCCTCGGGTGAGGCGTGGGCCAGTCGCACCTCCAGCATGGGTCCACGGTCCCCGCCCGCGCCCGTGCCGAGAGCCAGTGCGTCCGCCGGCAGGCCCACACCGTACACCTTCTCCATCTGCTGCTGTCGCGCCTCCCGGGCGGACAGTATCTTGTTTCTCAGATACTTTGAGCGCGCCGCCACAAAGGCAATGTGCGCCAGGATGCGTATCTCCTCCGATCCGACGATAAACTGAATGTCGCAGAACTGTTTGTCCACGAAGAACTTGCCAAAGTCATCGCGCAGCGTGCACTTTGGATACGAGGAGAACTGAAAGCGGTACGTATCGCCGCGCCGCACACTATTATCCACGGTTCCGCCGAAAATGTACATGGCATCGCAAATGACGGCCGAGGCATGGAAAACCCTGCCCGAGGGCACATCCGAGTTTTGCTCCGGCAGGATGACGGACCACACCTGCGAGTCCAGATCGTAGCAGTGCAGATCGTTCGGCAGCGTCGAATCCGCCGATCCACCAAAGACGTAGAGGAACCTATCGTGATGCACCATCGTGTGGCCATATCTACGCGACGGCGGGGCCGAGGTGGCGCCGCGCAGCACGGGCTCATTGGAGATTCGCCGCCAGGTGCGCGTCTTAAAGTGGAACTCGAACAGCGAGTTGGTTATCTGCAGGCCACTCTGACCGGAGAACACGTACATGGCGTCTCTTGCCACGGCGACGGGGAAATTGCAGCAGGTGGGCGGACGATCGCCCAGCTGCTCCACCTCCTCCCACTGGTGATTCTCCCCCGTGAGATTCAGCGTCCACATGTCGTTTAACCGCGCATTTCCATCGTAGCCCGCATAGATCCACATCTTGTTGTCGTAGACGGCTGCTCCGTGCGCGGATCGCGGCACCGGCTGGCGTCCCTGGAACTTCCACTCCACCCACATGGCGCTCTGAAACTTGTACTCGAACAGATCGTTCTTGTTGGTCAGATTCGAGTTGGAGTGTATGTCGCCCGTGTAGCCGCCAAAGATGAACATCGAGCTGCCGGCCACCACGGCCGAGTGATGGTAGCGCGGCGCCGGCGGCGTTCCCGTCGCACACGCCCTGCCCCACGACTTGTCCTTAACGCCGAAGCGAATCAGATCGTTCAGCATGTTCTTGCCGTTGTCGCCGCCGAACACGAACATCGCATCCTTGTAGGCCACCACTGTGTGCTTGCTCCGCCTGCGAAAAAGAGGAGGAAATTGAATCGAGATTGAATTTAATCCGTCTGTCCGTCAGTTTGTCCGTATGTTCGTTTCTACGCAGGCCAGTCTCTCAGTTTTGAAGCTATCGGGATGGAATTTTTTCTAATCGTCTTCTTTTTATTTCAGCTAGTATATAAGTCGGAACTAGCCGGATCGGACAACTATATCTTATAGCTGCCATAGGAGGGAAAATTCTAGCTTCGGTGTTTTTAGACATATTGCCTTCTACTCTTTGGAATGCCATTCTTTTAATGTTTCTAAATTTTGAATTAAATTTAAAAAAAAATCGGGGGACTATATCATATAGCTGTCATAGGAACGATCGGAAAATGCATGGAAAATTAATAGAACAAAAATTATAGCTTCTGTGTTTTTTGACATATTACCTTCTACTCTTGGGAATATAATTTTTTTAATAATTCCGAATTTCAAATTAAATTTTTTAAAAATTGGAGAAATTTACACAAATTAATGGGAAAAAAATTATAGCTTCGGAGTTTTTTGAGATATTACTTTCTACTCTTGGGAATATTATTTTTTTAATGTTTGTAAATTTCGAATTAAGTTTTAAAAAAATCAGACAACTATACCATATAACTGCCATAGGAATGATCGGAAAATTAATGGGAAAAAAATTATAGCTTCGTTGATTTTTACAGTATTCTCTTCTACTCTGGGACATAACTTCTCTTTAATATTTCAGAATTTCGAATTAAATATAATAAAAATCGGACGACTATATCATGTTTTATAGCGCTTATAAACTTTTCCATATAGCTTCCTTTCTTGTATAAATCATAAGTACATATTCCACTCACTTGGCTCCCACGAACTCGGCGCACTCGAGCATCCGGGTCCACTGATGGGTGGCCGTGTAGGAGGTGAAGTCCACGTTGAGGGCATTGCAGCTGTAGCTGCCCGGCGAGGCGGCCTTTCCGCTGCCGCTGCCGCTTCCGCTGCTCCCGCTGGCATTGCTGGCCGCATCGTAGGCCAGTCCGCAGCCCGATCCCGATCCTCCTGCTCCGGCGCTGCTGCAGCTGCTGCCCGGCGGATGTCCCCTGGTGCTCCGCATCGAACTGGACATGGACATGCGCAGATTGGCACGTATGTGCTGGGCGTCCAAACAGCCGGCGGTGGAGGCGCTCTTCCTGGCCTTGTTTCGCTTGCTCGACTTGGAGGAGCTGCGCGAGAAGAAGCCCTCGTGCTGGGGACTCGACTGCTGGCTGGGATTCAGCTGATTGGCCGCGGCCACGCAGGCGGGGCAATAGAGGATGCCGGCGGGAGTGCTACCACTGCTGCTCCCGGCTAATCCTCGATCTCTATCTCGATCCCGGTCAGCTCCTCCTCCTCCTCCGCCGGTCACAAATCCGCACACGGCACTCAAACCACTGGAAATCGAACTGGAGCCCAGCCCACAGCTGGCACGCCCACTTCCGCTGGTGCTCCTGCTTCCAGAGGCGCCTCCTCCTGCCCCTCCTCCTCCAGCTCCTCCACCTCCTGCCCCTCCTCCACCGCCTCCTCCTGACCCTCCGCCGCCTCTTTCCGTGGATGCCACGCCAACGCCTCCGCTAAACGACTTTAGCATTAATGCATCACACGCCGGAAGGATCCTCCGTCGTCCGTCGCTTGCGAATTATCCTTGGCCGCTCTTGTCCTTTCCGCAAATTACGTTCTTTTTGAGTAACTGCACTGCCCACAAAAACAAAAGGTATACAGAGCAGTATTTAAATACTAGCTGGGAATACTGCTGTGCAGTATTCTTCGTAGAGATGGGCGCGGGCCGATAGTTTCCGTTCGTGCGTGATCAAATTTCCAGATATCATAAATTTAAAGTTTAAAACTGGAAATCGTATGGGAAATCAGAGGTTAAAGGTTTCCTTAAATTTAACAATCCTAGTTATCGTAAAGAGGTGCAACTTCGCTGGCATTTAAACCCAAATTAAAGCTAATGTTTACGAGCTGAGGACTAAAATACTTCAAAAAAATATACATAAGTTACTGTTTTGTATAAAAATATGAAATAAAAATGCATTTCATATACTGACATTGTGTGGTATTTAAAATTAATGGAACTATGTAAAAGTATTGTAATATTTTTAATTAAAGAGTCACGCGGCCATCTCTAATTCGAGTCCACCAAAGCGGGCGCTTTGCAACACTGCACCTTTTCCAACACTGCACCAAACCAAACAAAAATAAAGCGGTGCTTTTTAGTTAAATTACTAAATTAAATTTAAGTTAAAAGTTCGCAATCACAATGGCCAGCGGATCCAGGACAACGATATTGCCGCAATCGAAGGAGGCCCTGTTGAAATCCTACAATGCGCGCCTGAAGGACGACGTACGCAGCATGCTGGAGAACTTTGAGGGTGAGTATTATACAGATATTAAATATATATCTTTATTATAGATACTATATATTATATTATAGAAATCCTGAAGCTGGCGCGTCGCGAGAGCCACAGTCAGATCTCCAAGACGACGCAATGCGAACAGGATGCGCTGGAAATGCAGGTGCGAGCGGCCAATATGGGTAGGGGTATTACTTATATCCTATATCATATCCCATATCATATAACATCATTTTTACAGTTCGCGCTGGCGAATCCCTGATGAAGCTGGTGGCCGACCTCAAGCAGTACCTCATCCTCAACGATTTCCACTCGGTAAACGAGGCCATCACGAACAATTCGCAGCTATTTCGCAATACCCAGAGCGAATGCGACAAGAAGCTGATGAAGCTGCGCGACGAGATGGCCATGGATCTGTACGATCTGGAGGAGGAGTATTACACGAGCATATTTAAGTAGCCCTAAGTTTGTATTTGAATGTCCCTGAAAGATACAGCAATGAACGTAACGTAATAACTAGTAATTTCATTGCTATTCCTGCCCATCATCCTCCTCCTCTTCGTTATCCAAGCTGTCCACCAGATCACCCGTGTAGAAGAGCACCGCCTTGGGCACGATCTGCGTGCGCAGGAGGAAGCCCACCTCGAAATCGCTGCCCAGTATGAGCTTGGTCTTCTCGTCGGCCAGCGACAAATCCAAAGCCTGCGGCGGAGCGAAGAACCGGAAGAAGGATTCGCGTGGCAGGACCTTGGTGCAGCTGCTCCGGCCATTTCGATTCCTTCGCCTGCTCTCCACCGTTTGCAGCGTCAAATTGGAGCCATCGCGCCAATGGATGTGACAGCCCTCGCAGCGAATGATTTCGGGTCCCTCGAAGAGGAAGGGATACTCCGGATCCGCGGAGTGCTGCAGAAAGTAGCGCTTCGTCAGGAGGAGCGAGGAGTCGTGCAGATAGCCATTGGGTCGAAACTGAAAGCTAACCGTGTAGCTATCCTGATCGTAGGTCAAACGCACGTCCATCAAACACTCGAGCAGAGGCTCATCGTGATCCTGGACGAGTTCGGAGAGCAGCGGGACATTCTGGAAGACGGTCAGCCAAAAGCGAGGAATTCCACACACGGGAAGATCGGGGGAAACCGGTAGCCACTTGAGCCTCAACTGGCGCAGCTCCTCGTTGTGCTCAAAGTCTAGGGACTGCAGGGGAAGCAGAGAACTATCAAGCAGCCCGGAGCTCTCCGTTTGCAGCGGTGGCTCCACCAGACCCTCCAAAATATCCCGACGCGCATCGAAGAGGGCGCAACTCTGGCCATAGAATCGCCGCTCCAGTTCGTAGACCTCGCGGAAGAACTGCTCCGAGATGCGCACCTGTTGCAGCTGGTTTTGTTTGAGCGCCCGCAGGCGATTCTGCACGGATTCCGGCATTTGGGCAATCATGTGGCGAAGAAAGGCCTTTCGGCTGCGCGGAGGCAAGTCAGCCGGACTTAAAGCCGGCTCCATGGACTCCATGGGCGATCCTTGGGTGTCCAGCGAGCGCATGGAGTCACTGATCATACTGTCTACTGGTGGAATCTTTCCCGAGGGAGCCTTCTCCGCACCATTTTCCATCTCGAACATCGTGCAATTCGTGAGGATAGCTTCAAAACTTTAAAATTTAGGAATCGGTATTTATAGATCTATGATTTGAGGTTTTTTTCAAGGTTTCCAAACTATTTAACTAGAGTTTGAAGTAGATCTTGGGAAAGTATCGACATTTCGATTATTTTTAAACATATATGTTTATCGTGAAAGTCGATTACTTCGATATTATCGATTCATTACTGTGAAAATATTTTTTTTTAGCAATATGATTCCGTTTTCCAATGATTTAAAATGAATCAAATATTCCTATCGCCAGATAATATTATTCAAAATAATTCCAATCGTTTTTGCTACATGACTTCGAAAGAATGCTCCTATCTTCATGACTCGAATGTTTTGCCAATAGATAATCTTATTTTTAATTCCAATAATTTTGTAATCTAGCTACGAGTCAAATTACCTTTAAGGGGAAACCACTTTAGAGATACGTGCATAAATAATGAAGTCGATTTCGGCAAAACAATGAATGATATGGCCGAATTCCGGGTAAATCGGATTGCCTTATCGGTGGTACAGATAGATATGCGATATAATCCGAAGCCTATAATCGGCTATCATAAATTGACATTGCGGCAGGTCGGAATTTCGCTATGATCACAATATTCTCAATTTCATATATATTAAATTATAGATATCTCGATTAGATATAGATAGGTGTCTTATCTGCGACACCTGGCCACTTGACACTTGGTCTTGGGTTTTTATGGCCTTACGAGGCGATAAGTTGGCCCTGTTGTCTTTCAGGTTTCAAATAAACCATATAAACCCAGCGTTACGCGATTATTTATTGAGAGAAAAACCGGACTACTTGACTTGACCAATCTTATCCGTTCCTCGACTTTCGCCGTCCGCCAGCCGCATGCTAATTTATAGTCAAAAAACTGTTTAAAGTGGAAGAATTCTCTCCACCGGGGGTCCAACTTGCCAACTGATTTGGGTAATCTTTTAATCTATTAGATTTCAGCTGCAACCGATGGCCTTCATTTGATACTATTCTTGTTTGCCGCATTCCGTGAATGATATGATTTAATACAATAAAGAAACCCACTTGATTCGCACCCAAATCGAAAGTATTTCCCACACAGAAAAAAAATTAATATCAAATTTATGATTCAAACATATCAATTTTATATTTTATCATTTCGTAAAAGTTATAAAAATACTGTTTTCAAATACCCAATGTAGTATTTTTTGAGCAAATATTGTAAGGTAAGATACAAATAATCTTTATTCATATCAAAATGATATGACTTAAACCATATTAAATTAACATATCAAATAAATGAACTTTGTTTTCCAGTAAATAATAAAATATATTTTTATATGTACTCCATAGGCATATGTATATATCAACTTAGAGACTAAAAACAAAAATATGGGAAATCTGATTTCTAGAAGATAAAATCTCCATCGCCTTCGTCGCCATCCTCCAGCAAAGTGAGGCTTCTTTCGAAGCGCTTGATGTTCTGGTACCAGCTGGGATCCCCCGAGGATATATCCACGGGTCTTCCTCCCTTGTGGCGATAGAGGAACTCGGCGTGTCCCTGGCCAGAGACTCCATTCACTGTACAGGCGACAAACTGATTGAAGACCTTGGACTCCCAGTCGCCGCCCACATAGCGCACCGCCGATTCCTCCACCTGGATCTGCACCAGGTACTCCTTCTCCGCGGTGTGGACTATAAAGTTCTGGTGCTGCGGTGGAATGCCCTTTTCCCCGTATGAATACAACTCAAAGTTGCTGCCTGTAAGGGGTTGATATCGCCCCTCGGGAGAGCAGACATAGCCCACTTTCAGGGAGGACAGGAAGAAGGAGGGCTGGCTGAGATTTCCGACCACCATGCTGCTGCCATCGTCCAGGAACAGGGCGAAATAAACATACCTATTGATGGAACTCAGGCAGCGTTCGGTGCCAAAGCTGTGATCCCGAAAGCCGAGCATTTTGAGCTCTACATCTTGATTGTTCTGCACAGAAAAAAAAACGATGTGAAATGGGATTATTTCTACCTTATTTCATGTCAATAAGATAAGATTCAAACATATCAACATGATATTTTATCATATCAAAAAAAATACCAAATTTAGTATTTTTTGAGCAAAAAGGTTAACATAATCTCTATTCATATAAAAATGATATGAATAACTTGATCTTAAAAAATATCAATTTGACCATTACCATTTTTTTTTCTGTGTGGAGCAGAATTCTTCCCGCCAGCTCTCCATTCTGCTCGTAATGGGTTCGCCTATCCACAATGTGATTGACACTCTGCAACAGGCTGTAGAATTTCTCATTCCAAGCCTCCCGTGCAATGGAATCGGCGATCAGCGAGGAACTGAGATCCCTGCTGTAATCGAAATGCTCCGAAGAGGAGCTCTCGAAACGGAGGTCCAGGTCCACGGGTATTTCTTCGGAACCCTTCTTCAAAACACCCTTGTACTTGATGCGCCACACTTTCATGGATTCCTCGGCATAAACATGGAAGCCGCCTCCGCGGAACTCGCTGCTCTCCTCGCCGCCATCCTCGCTGGTGAAATATATCATATCCGGGAGATTCGGGGAGCTAAAGAGCCCCTCCTTGGGCAGCCATAAATACAAGGCGGCCTTCAGGACTCCTCGCCGTCGCCGCTCCAAGGTGACCATCAGTTTCTGGCCCTCTCGATTGGCCGCCATGAAGCTCACCACATCGTAGCTCTTGGGATCGTTGCTCAGCTCCTGGGGACGATCGATCTTCGAGAGATGCTCCTCGGAACCGAGCAGCTCCTCGTTCCTCCGATAGATGCGATATCGCAGGCGTCGAAGGACCAAAAGAGCTATCCAGAACTTCACCCGGTAGAAAATCCCCTTTAGTGGGTATTTTCCAAAAATCAGAGGCGGCTTGAGGCCCAAAAGCTTGAGGATTACGATGACTACGGTCAACAGAATGCCGAAGATCAGGGCGAGAAGTACGAGGAACACCATTTTTAGGATAATTTTAAATTCCCCGTTAGATGGAACTTAACCGCTTGGCCTATTTTACGCGACTGGCGAGGAAAATGGATGGGTAACCGCTTATCGACCCGCCGATAAGCTACCGTTAAACCCCTTTTTTTCGGCCCCCGGGCTTATCGCGAATTGGAATTGTTGGAACTTTACTTTGGTATATATGACTACCTCGTAAATCTGAATCTGTCTGCCGGCGCAATTTCTGATTGATCCATTAGCAGGGTGCGCAATCCATTAGAAACCATCGATAGCAAATCTCTAGATAGCCCGTATTGCATGGTTATCTTCTGGTGCAAAGTCTGTCCAAGTAGGAGCAAAGATCTAAAATTGAGTGGAGAGAATTATAATAAGGGGTAAGTTCGAGTGATAAAGGGGTTTCATATTTCCACGGTACATTTGATACCTATTAATATTTATATTCACAAATGGTATTTCTACGATTGATATTTGAAAAAGAGAAGCGTTTTAAGATCAATTTGATGAGAAATATCATCAATATAATTATTAGATCTTAAAAATGTTTTTCAATTAGTGGATCAACATGTTTAATCTCTGGTTTTAATTTAATTTCTAGACTTAAATTGAATATTTATTTACATTATCTGAGTTAGGATCCCAGTTAATTTTTTTTATGATTATAAAAATGTTTAAAAATCATGAACTAATATAGAAACTTTGATTATTGTTTTATTATTTTTTAAAGACAAAAAGGATTCAAATCCCCGCTTCCCCTTCTCAACACTGGAAAAGGTCCTTTGTGGAAAGTTCAACAACACTCAGAAACTGCGCCTGCGCCAAAAAACAACAAACGCTTAATCAATAAAAACATAAAATTGAGTGCGCAAGGAGCATCGAGCAGCAGGAACAAAAACAAAATATATTCCCAAAGGACGAAGGACAGAATGCATAGTAATTCTAAGTAGGAAAAGCAAAGGACTTGCAGCAGATAATATTAAGCAAAAGGATACGGAGTTATCAACCTGAAAATATTGGGTATTTATCATTATAAAGAGGTAATGAAAGCGAAAAAGTGACAGAGAGAGAGAGAGAGAGGAAGAGAAGTGAAGGGAGTTGTATTTCCAGGAACGAAGAGGACTCCTCTTAATTTGATTAGGAACCCAATTAAGGATCAAAAAATATAGAGGATTTAAAAGAAGGAGCTGCAAAAGAGCGAAGAGCATCCGAATTGCAGGTGAATATCAGTTGAGAAGAGAAGGGGAGCTCCGGAAGAATCCAGAAGAATCCGCGAGCATCCGTAGAAGAACGAGGACAAAATGTACAAGACCATCAGGCACGGCGAGAATAGTCTGCAGTACACGATTCTGCCGCAGAACGATGACTTTGGCAAACTTTCGGGCTCCGGGCGTTCAGCTGCGGCCTCTTCCTCCGCCGGCTCTTCCGCGAATTCTTCAGGATCCGTGAAGATCAAGGGCCAGCGCCGCCGTCGCTCCTTCTTCGCCTATCTGGGCCTCATTTTCGTGTGCACCGTGATCATTGGTGCGGTGCTCATACCCTTTCTCGTCTCCGCCGAGTGTCTGCCAAATCCCACGGAATGGTTCTTGAAAACCAAGGCGGCCCTCATCCACAGTCCACAGCGATCGGGTGAAGCTGCTACCAATCGCAATCCCATCTCACCCACTGGCTCCCCGCTGTTGCAGCAGAATGTGGGCAGAAATGTGCAGATTGTGAACCGGAATGGCATCGAACAGTTTGTGATTCGTGTGAATAAAACCAATCCAATCACCAGTAGCACCACCAGTACCATGGAAACCAGCAGCACCAGCACCACCACAACTACGACGACAACCACACAGGCTCCCAGCACCACGACCACCACAACAAGAGCCACCACCACCACCACAACCACCAGGGAACCACCAGTGGTGACCACTCCGCGGTACTCGCCACCTGGCACCACAATCACCACCCGAATCATACAGGTTCCCCTGCTCAAGTCCGCCGCCAAGAAGCCCATTATGCCACCCGTTCTGGCCAAGGCCCAGGGGCCACAGATCCTCAGCGGAGCAGGGCAGAATTCCAGGATGCAGGTGCCATCAGAGGCGGAGGAGCAGTCGCCGGAACAATCGGGATTGGGGAGCCAGAACGACGAGAAGAGCAACAACAACGCCTGGATAAAGACGCACTGGGCCTACATCGATCCCTCCACCTACTTCCAATGGACCGTAAGTTATGCCTATACTATATAGTTTTGAGAATCTCAGGATCTACAAGAGATAGGTTTATGAAAACTGGTATGTGGGCTAATTTTTGAGATTATCCCATGATATATAATATTCTATAGGTTGAAAGTAGAATCTCAGTTTGTGGATTTAGGATTAAGAAAAATGGAAGGCCTATTTTATAAAGACAATATATCATCCTAAATTAGAATCTGTGCATCTTAAGTAATAACAATAATAGTATTTGACAATAAGATCATCCTAGACAGTGGGTTAAATATCTCAGGAGCCACAAAAGCTTGGCCTTTTTTTATGGCCCCCACTTATCATCCTAATTTTTGAGCTGTAAATTTGTCAGTTAGTATCCTATGGGCTATTATATTCAATAGAATGAAAGTAGAATCTGTGGACCTAAAATAATAACAGTTATAAAATATTATTATAAGATCATCCTAGACAGTGGGTTAAATATCTCAGGATCCACAAAACCTAGGCTCACTGAAATTGGTATGTGGCCTCCTTTTATGGCCCCCATATACCATCCCAAATTTTGAGCTGACCCCATTGCTGTGTTCCGAGTTTCTCAAGTTTCTTAATTAAGCACCCCCTTTTTTTCGTCCACTTTGCAGGGCTACAAGGACGAGGATAGCGTGCTGCTGCCCGCTCTTTTGGGCTTCGCCCTCATCGGAGTGATTTTGATCATAACGGTTTGCCTGGTGGCACGCAACAAGCGCACAATCGTGTCCTCCGTCCGCAAGCGGAATCGCAATGTGAGTACAAAATGCAATTAACTTGACCAGCGAGGCGGAAGAAGGTGGTTTGTGGTTTGTGGCTTGTGGGTCGCGTGTCCTTGAGCCCATTTTGCAAGCTTTTATTGCCAATTAAAAAAAGTAACCCACTTAATAAACCTTTTACTTTTAAACTTTATATTCTTTTCTTAAACCTTAACGTTCAAATTGCGCGCCTTTTGTGTAAAGCCAGCCCTGGTTTCGTTCAGTGAAAGTTAAACTAGTTAAAACAGTGAAAATCCCCGAGTGTTGTGTGTGAAAAAAGCAAAATCAAACAAAAAGTTAAACAAAAAATCAAAGTTGGCGCCAAAAAACAACGCAGCAGCCCCGGTTATCGGGAGGGTGACGCGGCTAAGCCCAGCGAGGACACCCACCCTCCCTTTTCCCAGTGAGACCGTTTTGGCGCACTTTCGGTATTTTCTATAAGCCAATCTGGTATTTTCGCTCCCACTGCCTCCACCTGTCGCCGATTCAATTCAGGTATCTCTCTCGCTTCGCCGATTCGGTTTCGGATTCAGATTCACAATCAGATTTCGATTTGGAGTCAGTTCCCGATTCCGATTCCCCCGATTCAGTTGCAGATCACGTCGCCGAGTTTGCCAGCTGGGAACGCACAGCACACGCACCGCCTACGTCAGCAAAATCACGTTGCAAATATCGGCCAAAAGAGCGTTTTTGGCCAAAAATCCTGTGAGTAAAATTGGCAACTGCAACAACAACAACTTTTGCCAGCGTGTCTCTTCGAGTCTCTCTATGTGTGCGTGTGTGTGTGTGTGAGAGTGGGAGCGCGCAGCCTGTGTGTGTGTGTGTGTGGTGCCAACAAGGCAATTTGTGTGTTTGTTGTTGGTGGAGCATCTTGGATACAGTAGATATTCCCCTTAAAGGAACAGGATATTAGAAAGGATATAGTATAGATCCCTTTTGGAAACACTTTTTATTCATAGTTCCTTCATTGAAAAGAGTTAAGATGGAGCTACATCATCAAAACTGCCGAGTTATCAGTAGTTATAGGATGGTATAATAATAAATAGTTATAGGAAAAGATACAAGATTAAATTAGAAACACAGTAGAGCATCTGAAAAAGGGAACCGGTAACCTATATTGAATAATAATATCCACCATACGTGTCAAACTTATAGAAACCAGTTGGTAGTACAGCACATCTTAACTTGGAAACTAATAGTTGGTGGATTTTCATTCGTTGGAAATAGGTCATACCTAAGGTAATATGCAATATTGGATAGTTGATCCCACCATACATCATCTAAACTGCAGGGTTATCTGTAGTTATAGGATGGTATAGTAATGACTAGTTATAGAAAACACACTACAGCATCTTCAAAGTGAACCGGGAACATATTGAATAATAATAGGCAATATTATATCGACTATCTCAACCATACGTGTCAGATTTATAGAAACCAGTTGGTAGTACAGCACATCTTAACTTGGGAAACAATAGTTGGTGGATTTTCATTCGTTAGAAATAGGTCATACTTAGAGTAATATGCAATATTGGATAGTGGATCCAGCCATACGTGTCAAGTTATTATAGAAGTTCTGCATCTAAAAAGGATATCTTTAAATAAGGGGAACCCATAGTGGGAACACCTTGATTCGTTAGAAATAGCCTATACTAAGAGTAATATGCAATATTGGATAGTCAATCCAACTATACGTGTCAAATTATAATAGAACTTTTGTATTAATAAAGGATCTCCTATAGTTAGAACCCCTTGATTCGTTAGAAATAGCCCATACTACGAGTAATATGCAATATTGGATAGTCGATTCCATAATAAAACTTCTCTTTCTAAAAAGGACCTCCTTAACTTGGGAACCCATAGGTAGAACCCCTTGATTCGTTAGAAATACCCCATACTAAGAGTAACATGCAAGATTATAGAACTTCGGGACACCAAACATCAAACGTTGATAACTGAAACTAGATTTCCTTTTAGAACCCCCTTTCGATAAAATGGCCATCAAACCGGGACTCGGTCGCAAGACGAGCAACAAGAACCCACCGATCCTGAGCCACGAGTTCGTGATCCAGAACCATGCGGACATCATCTCGTGCGTGGCCATGGTCTTCGTCGTTGGCCTGATGAACGAATCGACGGCTGCCTTTGCCAGCGCCTTCATATCCCTGCATCATAATGTCAGCGGCGAGGATCCCAGCCGGGAGCAGCCCTACGGCAAGGCCTACACCTACATCGCTGGCATCAAGGACTACTGTGCGATATTCTTCTACACGCTGACCTGCATCATCATGCACGCGATCATCCAGGAGTTTGTGCTGGACAAGATCAGCAAAAAGCTGCATCTATCCAAGTTCAAGCTGGCCCGGTTTAATGAATCCGGCCAGCTGGTGGCCTTCTATCTGCTGTCCTTCGTCTGGGGCGCCCATGTGCTGCTGAAGGAGGGCTACCTCGGCCAGGTGGCCCAGCTGTGGGAGGGCTTCCCCGAGCATCCGATGAGCTTCCTGCACAAGTTCTACTTCATCGTCCAGCTGGCCTACTACCTGCACATGCTGCCCGAGCTGTACTTCCAGAAGATCAAGACCAAGGAGGAGCAGCAGCCCAAGATTGTGCATTCGATCAGCGGTTTCACCTTGATTGTGCTCGCCTACACGCTGAGTTTCCAGCGCTTGGCTTTGGTCCTTCTAACGCTGCACTACTTCAGCGAGCTGCTGTCGCATGTCTTCCAGCTCATCGGCGTCTTTGATCGCGAGGAGCGTCTGGCCAAGCTGAGGGTGGTCAACAACGCAGTCTTCTTCCTTGCCCGCTTTGCCACGTCGGTGATTGGCGTGCTGACGCTGTATTATGGCATTGGAGGGCTGCGATCCCTGCTCGCTTTGGGCGGCCTGATTGCCCTGCAGGGCTACCTGGTCTTCTCCTTCATCACCGAGCAGCTGCGCGCCAAGCGGGAGGCCAAGAAGGAGGCCAAGCGGGAGGCCAAGCTGGCGCTGCAGACGAAGAAGCCCAAGGACAAGGCGGCCAGCAAGGAGAAGGTGAAGCGCAAGAAGGAGAGCGACCTGCCCGAGGCGGACCAAACCCAGTCCAGTCCCGTCAAGCAGAAGCTCAAGTGAGGGGCAGCAAATGCCGGGCAGAGCAACAAAATCTTCCGCACACTTCCAATCCAAAATGAGAGATGTTTGAGAGCAGCACCATGAACAGAAGGAATCCCTGTCTTCTTTGTAAATCTCCGTTTAGCTCAAGAACCACACTACTGCAAACATTTCAGCTGCATTTATACTTCCTCCTCCTCGACACACACACAACACACCACAAACAAACTATATTTCTCTAGCCTAAATGTTTTGTTTCATTTTAAGTTTACATCCTTTTTTAAACAAATTTTTTTTATTTTTATACATACCTTAAAAAATGAAAAAAAGAGAAAACAAAAAAATATAACAACAAAAAAAACAACAAACAAACAACAAGAAAAGCTTAATGTAACGTGTGTTTTTGAATTGTTCTTCCTTGAATGTAAGCAAATTGATTTAACAACAATTTCCGATCGTCCTACTTGCGTGTAAAACTATTTTTTTAGAGAAGATCAACAAGAAGTTGAAGATTGTAACGACGAGGCAAACAAAACATTTGCTAAATATATAAAAAATATATATTTTGTATAAGAAAAAAAAAGAGTTTTTGCCTGGGGGGTTTATTATTATTATCTAAAGCTATCTTATAGGTAAAACTATAAGGTAACAGAGGGTTTATTATAGAGCTATTATTATTATATTATGCAGTTTTTTTTGTCTAATTAAATATTTAGGAACTATTATTATTTATTTTATTATTATCTTTTTTTACAGTATTTTATTTGTTATAAAATAATTTTTTTAATCCCAAGAAAAAAGCTACTTACAATCTATTTTAATATCATCAGTTTTTCTGGGGGTTTTTATAAAAAATATTGGTAATCCTAATTACTAAAGAGTAAATACCCCTAATAATCACTTTTTAATATCATTTTGTAGGTGTTATATATTATATTATATTTATATTGTTAAATTATATATATCATCATATTTTTCCAGGACATTGAGGAGCAGGGCGCCGAGGACAACGCCACTCTGCTGACCACCACCAATATGTCGGACGACGATTAATTAAATTAAATTAATTAATTAATCCCCGATCAACCTTCGAGTCAAGCTTTTCGTTTATTGGCCTGCTTAAGCGATGGGATGTCGCCCACTTCCGTTTTTGAGACACACACGTATTTATATAGATCTAAGCTAAAATGCTCTATGGTACGTATTATCGGATCTCAGCCAAGCTCATAAGCTATAAAAAAAACCCCGAAACCCGAAAAACTTTCTCTGTTATGTTTCTTCTTCCCTTTCTATTGAAAAAAGCAAGCGGAAAATGAAACAAAAAAAAAGAAAAGACTGTTTCTGAAACAACAACACGAACACAAGCGAGCTAAACTTTATAGTTTTCAAAAAAAAAACACATATTTCCTGCTTTAAAAACTCGTTTTTCGAAACTCTCTTTCCGTAGCCCTTTCCAAAATTTTGAGTGTGTGTGTGTGCGTCTGTGTGTGTTTGAGAGTGTGCGTGTGAGAGCTTGATTCCTCGATCCATTAAAATACGTCTAAATATTTAAAATAAAATATTCATGAGCTCGATAATTTGAGCTGGGAAACAGAATTATAATTGGAACCAGAAAAATTCCATTAATCACAAAAAGAAATTAGTGTACTAACACACACACACGGGTACAGTGCGTTTCAAGGCGGGAAGGCAAATACAAGAAAATATGAAAACTTAATTAACATCTAGAAAATACTTTTAAACTAAAGCGAGCTTTTTTCGAACATCATTTTTTTAGCCCAAAGAGCAGTTTGCATTGCAGTTCGTAATCCACCTTTTAGCCAACCTGCTGCTCCCGAAACGCACTGTACCAGGGAATTTATTTCAAAACAAAATCGTAAGATATATACATTAAATATATATTAAAAAGCAAACCTAAATTTCGTGTGAACCACCCGAGGAAATCACACTCAAATCAAATGAAAACGTCCAGAATGAGAATATTTTTTTGCGCAAACAGTGCTTCTACTTATCGAGCGTGGACTGTATTTGATTGCCATCACAAGACAAAAATGTTGAGGGATGCATTTACACGCCTGTCCAAGGATTTGGACTTCCTGCACAGCTAGCAGCCATTAAAAAACACCCAACAAATAGATTGCAGATGCAGCCAAGGAGGGAATAGCGCTCGTAGCGGGCGACTACTGTATGTCTACATATACAAAACTGTGTATAACTGTGAAGCATTGACAAGTATTTGAGATGATCTGTATTTTTGTAAGCGTAATATTTAAAAAACGACACACAAATCCAGAGAAGCAACTATATAGCGTAAGATATCGGACACAATATTGATTTGCTCAACATATATACACACACATAATATATATATACAAGAATATATATGTAACGCAAAGTATAAGGCTTGCATTTACATTTACGAGCGGAATGTATCCTCCATATATATATGTATATGTTATCACTAATTTGCAAAGCTAAACTAAGTCCATATATACAAGAAAAATACGAACAACAGATATCCGAATGGGAAATGACAAACACACATACACTATATTGAATGTTTTTGCTTGTTAAAGTGCATAAATAAAGAAGAAAACTCAAAGGAATTGTGGGAAACTCGATCTCTATTCTAATTAACTAAATCACTAATTAACTAGGACTTTGACTGCTCCTCCAGCTTGTCCCGCTTGCTCTGCTGCGCCGTCAGATGATTCTGCACGAAGCTGCTGAAGTTCTGCTCCTCCATGGTGCCCTTGCCGTCCTCCTCCATCTCCTCCTGCTCCTCCTGCTCGTCGGTTTGCGGCACCAGACCAGGTGCCATGAGGAATACGCTGTTTCCTGCGTTTGCCGGTGGATCCTGAAGACCCTGCAATCCCAGGGGCACAGCAATGCCGGCATCTTCCACATTGTCGGCCGGTTTTGGTGCCGCCTGCTCCGCCAGCCGCTCCAAACGCATCTTCTCGTACACCGGCTTGTAATCCCGCTCGTATTCGCTGACGCACTCCTTAATCTTAGTCAGTAGCTGGGCAAAACCCACGCCTGTTTTGGCCGAAACGCCGCAGGTGCTTAGATTCTCGTAAAAGGTGTCTAAAGTAAGCGACATGGTGCGCGTGAGGTTGCTCACGAAGCTCTGCTCCTGCTCGAGGGCCTCCTGGAAGGCCTCGAAGTCCGTCATCCAGTCTAGGACGAAACTGCAGTCCTGCAGGTCGATCTGTAAAGCAAAAAGGTACTAATTATAATATCTAAAAATAACAAAAAAAAAACATGAAAAATTGTATTTTACAGTGTGAGCAAAATTGTTGACATGTGTGTCAAATACAAAAGTGCTAAAATGTGAAAAATAAACAGCTCACTTGTGTTTTTTACACAATGTGTTATTAGCACGACGTGTTTTTTACACACTGTGTTCTTAACACAAATGAAAATTACATATTACTGACATTAACGAGTCTTATATGTTAGTTTTAACCATTTCAAAGCATATATGAATTCTTATACTCTAGAAAGCCGTGCATTTTTTCAGTTTAACATAGAATTCTGACACTTTAATGTCAAAAACTCAATGTTAATAACATGTTAATGTTAATAACACGTCGTGTAAATAACACAAATGACCTGTGTGTGTTATTTACGTTTCTAACATATGTAAGATACAATTTTTTACACACAAGTCAATAACTTTTTTTGACATTTAGCATGTTAATAAGACAAGTTTTCTACAGTGATTATAACAATGACCCACCTTATTCAGGGCCACCAGGAAGGGCAGGCGCGTCTTGTAGAGGATGGAGCAGGCGTAGAGCATGTTGGACATGAAGGTGGTGGGACAGGCGCTGCGCACCACATCCATTACATAGACCACGATGGTGGGAAACATGGTGGCCAGGCCCTCGGTGATGATGTTGCCCGATGCCGACCAGGTGAACACCTCGATCTGGCCCGGTGTGTCGATCACACACCACTTGTGCCCGCGCTCGCCGGCGCGACGCACTAGCTCCGCAAACTGGGCCATTTTGGTGGTGAACATGTTGAGTGCGGTGACAATGCCGCCATTGGGGCCCAGTTGGTACTGCTTCATCACCTCCCGGTAGTTCACCGTGTCCCGGATGTCCACGTGCGTCGCATATGGCACCTCCTTGCAAGCGGGATCCAGATTAACCACGTACGGATTGAATTTCTCCTGGGCGTGCTGGATGAGGCTCCTGGTGAACGTGGTCTTGCCGCTGCCCGCCATTCCGAGCACTATGATGCACACGGGCGACTCACGGATGCCGGAGGTGAGCGAGAGGGCCTCCAGCTTGATGTCCTCCACGCTGGCGGTCATTTTTGGGATGTAATTTCGGTTTAAATTTCGTATTTAAGTGAAATTGAAATAATCCTATTGGAAATGCGGTAGAGGGCGCATTAGGGATGTGCCATTGCGGTCTGTTTTGCTTATCGTTATCGGTTGGAGGCAATATTTTAATTTTATTTTAGCTCTAAAATTGCTGAATTGTTCAAAATTTAACAGAACATTTTAGCAATTGAGGAAAATTACAAATGTGCAGTATTTACAAGCAAAAGCGCTATTAAATTAAATGTGATAATTTCCTAGGTCATATCGATAGAGGTCAATCGCGATAGTACCATCGATTATTTTGCAGCTCTGTGCTGTTTGCTAGAATGCCACCCCTATCGAGCAGCGTTGCCAGATCGCAAGGGCCGCGCGAACATTCATGTTGAAATTGTCTTCGTTAATTGGTGATTTTTTTCCATTTTCCTCTAATTAAACGATAGTTAAGCCATGGAAACTCGTCTGGAAGTGCGCCTGTGGGAGCCGAACCCTTTGTTCACCCGCTGGCTGGAGCGCTGGCTGCGGGAGGCGGAGCGCCGGCAGCAAAAGTCGCAGTTCAAGCTGCGTCAGGCGCTGGAATCCCTGCAAAGTTATCCGCTGCCTTTAAACAGCGGACGCGACTGCTCGATTCTGCGCGGATTTGGGGGCACCCTCTGCCAGATGATCGACGAGGAGCTGCGCCAGCACAGGGGCCTCCGATTGGCGTCCCTTCCGCAGGAGGACACCCTGCAGCAGCAGCAGTACGAGCAGCAGGTGAAGGAGGTGCTCCGCCAGGTGAAGGAGCGCCAGGAGAAGCAGCAGGAGCAACTGGAGCAGCACAGGAAACCCAGGAAGCCGACCAAGAAGGAGCTGGCTGAATTGGCCGCTTTAGAAGAGCGGGAACGCCAGGTGCTGATGAAACCGGGCGGATTCCAGCTGCTCCTCCTCGTGGACACCCAGGAGACGAGTGGCAAGAACAAGCGGGTGCTGGACCAGACCAGGAGCTACCTGGAATCTTTAGGAGCCCGCCACGAAGTGCGTCGCCTGACCATCGGCGATTTCCTCTGGGTGGCCCAGGATGCGGAGGGCAACGAACTGGTTCTACCCTACATAATCGAACGCAAACGCATGGATGACTTGGCGGCCAGCATACGGGATGGTCGCTTCCACGAGCAGAAGCACCGACTGCAGCAGAGCGGCCTGAGGAACATCATCTACCTGGTGGAGGATTACGGGGACAATGAGCAGCTGGGATTGCCTTTGGAGTCCCTCCAGCAGGCTTTGGTCAATGCTCGGGTGCAATCTAATGTACAGGTGGTGCGCACCGAGAATCACTTCAGATCCATGAGCTATTTGGCCGCCATGAGTCGCTCCCTAAGTCAGATATTCTCTGGGAAAACACTAAAAAGCGTGGATCGGGAAGAACTCAATAGAAAATCCTGCATTTTAATGGACTCCCAGCTGGGGCTGCTCAAGTTTCGCGCCCTCTACGAGGATTCCGCGAAGAATGCCCAGTTGACAGTACGCGAAGTGTTTGTGCAACAGCTGCTGCAGCTCCACTCACTCTCCCTCGAACGAGCCATGGCCATTGTGGAGCGATATCCCACGCCACGCTGCCTTTTAGAGGCATACGAGGAGTGCCTAGATGAAAAGCAGGCCCGGCTACTCCTCTCCAGCATCGCCTGCGGTCCCCTGGAACGTCCTCTCGGCGAGAAGATCAGCCAGTGCCTCCACGAGTTCTACACATCCACACATTTTCGCTAGAACTTTAGGATTAGCAATTGATTTAATGGGACATATCTAAAGTTATATACACGAGTTTATACATCATACATTTAAGTGAGAGAGAGAGAGAATACGATTTACTCCGCTGGATCTGTGATCTGTGTGATCTAGTCTAAGCCAAGGAATGTACATACAAGTCCGGAACGAACTTAGAGGTTGCGGAAGTGCCGGATGGCCAGGTCCACCGGCAGATCGAAGTCAAAGCGCGACAGCGCGTCGATGGAGCGCAGCGAGTCCCGGAATCCCGTGCGGGCCACATAGCTGCTGGCCGAGTAGTACGTGTCCACCAGCTCGTGGCTGCTCAGGATCAGGTTGAGCCACTCCACCAGCAAATGGGAGCTGTGAAGAGAAGAGAAAAGAGAAGATGAGTAAGATTATATGGGTCTACCTTTTCTTAGAAATATTTGTGTTGGCTTGATTGTTGGCCTCTTCAAAGCAAGATAAATATTTTAGTTCAAACTATACATATACATTTAATATAAATTAATAAATATCTATTCATTCCAGTAAACTTAAGGATGTTAATGCCAAAAATAGTATACTTTTAGACTGCAGATGCTTTAATTTTTGAAAAATATATAGATGTACCAGGATAAAGCCTCTAATTCCTGGCAATTTAAGAAGAATTATTTATTTGGGTATAACAAAAAATATGTTGATCCTTGCAATAAACTATACCTGTATAATTAATATAAATGAAATAATCACTTAACTTTCTCCGAATATTGTTAATTGCAGTTAAGTAAAAGATGTTTATGCCAAAAATAGTATACTTTTAGACTGCAGGTGCTTTAATTTTTCAAAAATATGTATCAGGGTGAAGTTTTTAAATCCTGGTAATTTATATATAATTTTTTTTGGTCAAAATGTTGCTTCTAGCAATAATATAAACCTATATAATTAATACAAAATGAATTAATCTACGAATATTGTTCATTGCAGTAATGTAAAGGCTGTTCATGCCAAAAATAGTCTACTTCTAGACTGCGTATGCCTTGCGTTTGTATATCCTATCAATATGTATCAGGGCAAAGCCCAAAACTATGCACTATATAGCTCAAAAAACCTATAGTATTGCATAGTTCGCTGTATTTGAATATGACTCCTTGCTAACTTTGTTTTTCGCTCCCCCCTAGCGTTCAACACACTCACTTGAGTCCGGCGCAGACGAAGGCCTTGAAGTGGGCGTTGTTGCTCCGCTTGTAGGGGCGATGCATGGCCAGGATCATGCCCACGGCGCTGAGCAGACTCTGCTTGGCGGTCACCGCCTGGGCGTCGACAATGTCCAGCTGGAAGCTCTGCGACAACTTGCGTGCCGGCGTGTTGTTGTACTCCTCGCCGTGCTTCAGGCGATAATAGGCCAGTACCAATTCCCAGGCATGCATGGCTCTGCCCAAACCAGCGAGGAATTGCGGCGAATCTGCCGCTGGAGGCGGCGGAACCATCGGAGATGCTGGATGCAGGCAGCGCATAAAGGGAACCATCAAACTGGAGGCCGCCGATTCCGCTGGTATGCGCAGACCATGCTGGATTAGCTGCTGCAGCGTGCGGGCAAAGTTCTTGCGCACCACTGTCGTCAGTTCGCGGTTAATTGTGGCTATGGAATCGCCACGCATGTGCGCCGATCGACGGCTCTTGCCGCCCTCCTTCTCCCACTCGAAGTTGGAGTAGCTAATGTCCTCGTCGGAGTCGGAGGATATGGCTCCGCCGGCCGCATAAGGAGCCAGTTCGTGGCCAGTTGGCACTGCTCGCCGGCAACGCGGTGGCAAGGTGGTCAGTGCTCCACTTTGCGAGGTGATAACCGGATGACCAGCCGAAGAGGACGAGGAGGTGGACTCCGCCTGCTGCTGCTGCTGCTGGCGCAAAGCCCGCTTGATATTGGCCAACTTCTCGCGGTCGCAGCTCAAAGTGGCGGCCAGGGCAGCCACCTCCTGGATGTCCACCTCCAACTGGGCGCGCAGGTCCCTGAAATGAATCAAGATAATGTCAGGTTGGTGGTTTTTACATTGAGAATGTCTAACCCCCAAATGTTGAATAAACCCTAGGGAAACTAACCAAAGTATATGTGTTTCTGAAACTCAAAAAGGTTTCGGAAATTCCGAAAGAATTCAGAAATAATTACTTTTCTCTGAATTTTTAACCTATAAACCTACAAAATGAATATTTAATGTGGACACCTGTTGCTGTAAGCAAAATTCTTTCGGAAAAAACGGACAAAATTTCTTTTAAGGACCTATTTCTCGACCGCAGGTTAAATTTAAATTAGGTATTAAACCTTGAAAATGTATGGGAGTAAAGAGTTTTAAAGCCTACTTTAAATTCAACATGCGGATGAGAAACGGGGATAAGTCTTTGTCGTTCGTAAGATTAACAACATATTGAGAAATCCTATTTGTTCTCCCGAAAAGTGGAAGTTCATGTTAATTTTCTCGGCAAAATTAACATTACTTGAGAAATCCAATTTGCCTATCTTTCAAAATATTGAAGTTCATGTTAGCTTTCTCTGTAAAATTAACATCACATTGAGAAATCGAATTCGTTTTTCCAAACAATTGCAGTTCAGGTTAACTTTCTCAGCCAGTTAACAAACGGGAACCTTAACTAGACATTGAGAAATCAGATCTAAACAGCTAGAAACGGTTCTTTTAAATGTTTTCTGATCTAAGGTAAGGAAATCTTGTACCAGGATAGTTTCTAGAAAGCAGGAAGTATTCTTGAAAAAGGTTTTTGTGGTTTATCTTACCCCCAGTGGTTGCCCTTGTGCGTCTTCTTCAGCGAATTCTGCTGGAATTCGTCGTGGCTCCTTGGCTTCGCCAGATGCGTGCTGGCGAACATTTGCATGAGGATCGATGCTTTGTCCAGCAGTCCATGGGCCTTGCTGTGCAGGCTCTCCCCGGTTCTTGGATGGGAATGTGAGCCCAATTCTGAGGACGGAGGAGTGGGAGGTGCAGTCACTCCTCCTTTGGCTGGAGCAATTGAACCTCCTCCTCCTCCTGCGGCGGCGGCCTGTGAACTCCGTGCCGTCTGCTTGGCCGCATAGCTATTGTAGGCTCCCGATAGAAGCTTCAATCGATCGCCCACGGATCCCCCAGATCCTCCCTCGGCTGCATCGCACTGCAGGAAGGCAATGAAGCGCTCCAGATCGGTGATCTGCGTCTTCAGCTGGGCGACCAGTTGCTCCTTCATCTTCAGCGGGCCCACGAACTCGCCAATCGCATTGTCCACCTGGTGGCGCAACTGCTCCGTGCTGAGGGCCGGCAGCTCGTGCTGCTCCACCTGGAGATTGAGCTTCGAGCGCAGCTCGTCCAGGATGAACTTTTGCTTCTCGAGCATCACGTGCTGCGGCAGAATGCCCGGTTCGCCGGCCTCGTAGGCTATTTGTTCCAGCTCGGTGAGCTGAGACTTTAGTTGTTCGATGATGAGCTGGTTATCCGGAGTATCCTCTTTGGGCTTTGGGGACTCTGACTCCTCCTCCGCGTCCTCCTCCTCCTTGGACTGCACTGCCTCCGGAATGCCCTGAAAGGCAAAGTCTTCGAGATCGCGCAGCAGTTGATCCCGCTCCTCGGCGGGCGCCTCCACAATTTGGCGTACCCTCAGCTGGACGTGGGCAAAGTGAGAGGTCAATGCCAGCAGGGAGCTGGTGAGCAGCTCCTGCTCCTCCTCGATGCTGCGCAAGCGAGCCAGTTCAAGGGAGCTCCCGTTGCTTTCGCGTCGCGTCTCCGATTTGTCCAGCAGTCCCGGTTCCAGTTCGCAATCGACGCCCGAACTGGCGCTATTCGCATCATCGTAGTTGGCTCCCAGCGGAGACCATCGCTCGCTGAGCAGCTCCTGCTCCTGCTGTTCCACCTCCTCATCCTCGACAGCAGCTGGCAGCTGGCCTTCGACTGGCGAGCAGGAGTCGTCCTTGGTCTCCAGGGCCTCCGCCATTTTCATTTCCATATGGAAACGCTGCTGCGGATTGGTGTCGCTTGTTTTCCTCGCTTTTCTCGCGAAAAATCAATCGGTGGCTTGTTCCGCTTTCTATGTGCCAGCTGGCCAGCTCCCTTGCTCTCTCCTCCTGCTCTGTTCCTTCGCTAGCTTTGGATTTTCGATGCTTCTGGGTGGGATTGAAACGATGAGCGCGCTGCCACGGTTTCTGACGCACTGACAATGGATTCTCTCGAATCTACGAGCGTGGGAGGCCTTTCTCATTGAGGGTTTCCGGCTGTTTTTGGGGGTGAAAGTATAGCTTTAAGCTATGCCTGGGGAGCTTCAGAAGGGGTTGCTAGCCGTACTGACGGAAAAAGAGCTTTATGAGTACCAACTTTCTTTAAGCTCGTAAGCTTTTTTAGTTACAGGATAGCGAAAAAGACAGAAAAAAGCTTTCTGTGTACCAACTTTCTTTAAGCTCAAAAGCTATTTTAGTCACAGGATAGTAAACATAGCTTTGAAAATTATTTTGAAAATATTTCAAGGCTTAAAACTTTGATTTCTTATCAAACATTGAAGTTGCTTTAAGTTGTTTTAAAAAGTTACATTATTTTTTAAGTTTATTTTATTTCCACAACATTTCTAAACCTATAAATTTAATTTAAATAAATTTAAGGAAATCTTGAAACCTTGATTTCTCAGACGATTTCAAGATTTAAACCTTACTTAACCCGAACTTTAACATACGTTATACGACCCTAAGTATATTTTGTTACACTAGTATTCGTATAACATAAAAATATTTCGTACTTTAAATACTAAGTGGGCTTGAATTTTGCAGATCAGTTACTTAACTACCAGTTAAGGTGTTTGTAAAATAGATCCGGCAATGATTGAAACCTAAGTAAAAATGTATAAATGTATAAAAATCCTGAAAGCTTATTAGCTTTCCTAAGCTTCAGAGCTTCTCACCAATCCTCCCCTTAAAGCTCGTTGTCCCAAAGTTGTCCCGTCCCAATATCCCATATTGTTTACTCGTTTCGAGGGGCTGGGACCCATGAATCAATGACAATTATGACCTACATTACCAGCGTACGAAGCGTTGACCGGGGAATCAGGGAATCGGGGAGACGGGCGAGACACGCGGCTGCCCCCTGCACACCTACCTGCAAATAAATGGTGAAATCCCCATACCCATACCCATACCCATAACATACCCATCCCCCGGTTATCTTCGAGTGCTTCTTGATAAGAAGCTGGCGGAGATTAAACCGCAGCAAACAGAGCTGCGGTCTGGTTCTGGTTCTGGGTTCTCCTGTCGCTGACAAGGCACCTTATCAACTTATCAACCGCCGGCTGATGATGGGCCCGATAAGTCTGTCAAGTGTCTGACACAGCAACCATGGCGGTCATTTTGGGGTCACCCCCGCAAACAAGCCGAATAGCAGGCACTTGAAGAAATATATCAATTAGTGAGATAACCAGAGAACCGGTGTTATTTTGTGCTATTTGATTTAGAGAGAAGACACGGGAATTTTTATTTTGGAGCTATCTAAGCTATGGTTGTCTAAGATTGGGGTCACCATTTAGGAAATATTCTTTACAAAAAAGATTAATTTGTATAATTCAGATACAGGCGAGGCCAAAGGTAAAAGATCTAAGATAATGTAGGTAATATTATACGATTTAATATGACCCTAAAATGTTTCTAGATGTTGGAGTCACCTTTTTAAAAAAAATGCGCTATAAAAATGTTAATTTGTATGTTAGGGTCACCTTTTGTTATAAAAATATTAATCTCTTTACTGAAACTTCTTTTCTTTTCTTAAACTTCTAATCTTTATAATTCAAACAAAGATAATATAGGTAATATTTTAAGATTGGGGTCACCTTTCGGTTTAAAATATTTATCTCTCCTCTGAAACTTTCAAGAATGATTCTAGATGGTTGGGGTCACCTCTTAGAAAATATTCGTTATAATAATATGAATATTTTCTCCTCTAAAACTTCTTGAAGTGGTATTTTTTTTTTGGGCTTATCTTTTAGAAAATATTTGGTATAATAATATTTATCTCCTCTCCTCTAAAACGTCTTGAAGTTGAATACTTTTCTAGTTATTTTTCTCCAGCCCCCTTCGAATTCCATAAAGCATGTTTTGTTCAGTGTGTGGTTACAACTTATTTATTATAACAAAAAAAAAAGAAGAAAATGAAGAGGAAATAATGGAGGAAACGTAATTACTGGAAGCACAGCACGCTTAACGAGGCGTCAGATTGTTCTTGCCGCCATCGATGGGCAGGAGGGCGCCGGTGGTGAAGCTGGCCTTGGAGCTGGCCAAAAAGGCCACGGCCTCGGCGACCTCGGTGACGAGGCCCACACGGCCCATGGGATGCGACTGGATGGCCCGCTGCAGGACGCCGTTGTACTCCTCGTCGACGATGCCGAGGGTGCGATGGATATTGGTGACGACAAATCCGGGATTCACCGAATTCACGCGGACACCCTGGGGCGCCATCTCGAGGGCCACGATCTTGGTGAACTGATCGAGGGCGGCCTTCGAGACGCCATAGCTGAGGGCACCGGCGAAGGGACGAATGCCGGCACAGCTGCTCACATTCACCACGGCTCCCTTGGTCTTCAAGAGATGCGGGAGGACAGCCTTGGTCAGGAGAATGACACCACGCAGATTGGTATTCAGCACGGAATCAAACTCGGCGATATCCAGATCGATGAGACCGCCCTTGCCGAGAATGCCGGCATTATTCACCAGCACATCGATGCGTCCGAACTTGGCCAGCGTTTGCTTGACAATATCATCCGCATCCTTGGTCACATCGGCCACCACGATTTCCGCCTGGGTGCCCGCCTTCAAATTCTTCTTGGTCTCCTCCAGATTGGCCACATTGCGGCCCACCAGCGCCAAGATGGCACCTTCGCGGGCCAAAACCTGGGCAATAGCGGCACCAATTCCGCTGCTAGCTCCCGTCACGATCGCCACCTTGTTGCTGAGACTCATCTTGAACTACGACTGGAGGCTCTGTTCGCCCGGGGGCGGAATTTATGGACGTGTGCTGTGCTCTCTCGCCACCGATAAGATAATGTCTGCACTTAGAAAAAACACACAAAGGTTATCTGTTATCTGCGATTAGCTTAAAAAAGAAAAGGAAAATTGTTGAGAGTAGTTTTGCGTAGTAATGTTTGTTTATTTTGTTAAAAATATCACAAGAGATTTATGACCTTGGATGTTTGAAAATTTCCAGGACGTCATAAAATTTGATTGTTGTTTTATAAACGATTTCCTTGTTTTATAATTTAATTTCCCTCTCCTTTTATTTTTGTTAAAATATAATAATAATAGGTTTATTATTATATTATGTAAATTAGATACAATCCAAAATTCGTACACGTTTTTCTCTTTTTTTATTTTTATTAAATATGTTACAAAATATTTATGAACTTAGATGTTTGAAAATTCCCAAAATGTCATAAAATTAGATTGTTGGTTTTTTATAGTTTAATAGGCTTAAAAAGTGGGTTAAAATAATTCTAATTTAGAAGAAACTGTCTTTTTATTTTTATAAAAAATATCAGAATTTATTAGTTTTGAAAATGGGTAAAATTCAGAACATTTTTCGTCTCATTTTATAATAATATCCCGATCTTATGTGATTTAATGATCCCAAACCATTATATGTGACCATTTTGAACCGTCTATTAGCTTCGACTATTACTGCAACTATTTTTCACAGTGTGAGCGTGACGCAAATCGTTCGTTGCTCTCCGGAAAAACAACCTGTAGAGGTTCACCTTGGGCCTCCGAGGGTCTTTATCGATGCTCTAGCATCGCATTAGCACACAGCCGCGATGGCGATGCCTCCGACTTGGGTTTTAAAAGTCAGAGCCGAAAGTTTTTAATTAAAACTTTCCGTGGGTCTTGTCGGATTTCAAGCATTTGTGAAATCATGGCATATCTCGCCTAGAAGACGGGCCTCCCAAAACTACCCCACCCTCAAACTCAAACTCTCGACTCGAGTTGAGTTGAGGCGCCTCCGTTGTCAGATAATTAGCATTTCCATTTGGCTTGAGTGCGCGCTCGTATATCAACGCCTCCTAGGCGAAGATAAGGCCTCCAGTTGGAGGACATCGGGAGCGATTATGGGGTACAGTGGAGGTTCGGTTTGCAGAGAGCCTTAAACCGCCATTTGTGCGCAAATAAATGGACTTTTGAGATGCGCCCCAGATATCAAATATCGCATATCCAGTGGGGAGCTGCTCCTCGCACTTAATTTATTTCGATTTAAGGACATGTTGACTTAGGACTGCGTTTCGGTCGACGGAGCTTCACTGTAATTACAAAGGGCAGCGCTTTTGGCACTAATCGTTTTCCTTGTTAAGCGATTCTCTTTCTGTCTCTCTGGCAATTACTCAAAATCTATGACTGATTGGATTAATTAATTAAAATGGCACAGCATATATATTATTTCCCAAAACCGATTTCCATTACTTGCATTAAAGTGATGGATTTGGGTTCAAATTGCAATTGAAATGCTTGAATTTAAGTTTAAGCTCAGGGAAAAGATTGCTTGTCAAATTGACTAAAGCAACCATGATTGATTTAACGATTTTAATTAATAACACATCCGGAATACAAAGGCCATTGAAGGACACTCGATAGCCACACTTTTCCGCACTCTCGAGTCCATCGCTCCATCCAATTCAATTTGTGCTGTCCTCAGAATGTCACAATGTTATGGCCCAATTCCTTCGATCCCCGGCTGCATTTCTTGCTTGACTTCTTGTGCAGTCACTTTCAACGCCAAGTCAGTGGCACGGACAACGGACAACGAACAACGGACAAACCACCCACTCCCAACCCAAAAGGGTGCATTGATAAGTGCCAGCGGTTTATGGAAATTGATGGAGAGGAATTCATGTAATTGACAAGCGAAACGAAATTGCATACAAATTGCTTAATCCTAGGAACTTGCAATCTAAAATAAATTAACTTTTAATTAAACCAAAGCAAAAGGACACAACAAACAAACAAAAAAAAAAAGGCAGAAAAAAAATAAGGAAAATAGCAGGAAAAATGGAAGCCATCTTCGACGGGCCGAAGCTAAAAATACTCTTGCAGAAGGCATTGATTGAATTTGAGCTTAAAAGGGGAAAACCAAAGGCTTTAGCTTAAAATGTTTAATAAAAAAGGTATCGACATTATCGATATTTTTCAAGCATCAATATTTATCGAAACATCAAAGTTTTCTGATAATAAAAATAATTAGATTAGATTTAACATTTTCCTTTAAAAAAATTGATCTTATCGAAACGATATGGTGAAACTATCGAAACTATCGATATTTTTCAAGCTCTATTATCTAATTTATAATCGGACTAAATCGAAGACTTTTCCTCAAATATTGCAACCTCTGCAAGAGTGTAAAAAGTGGCGACACAAACTAAGGAACTAATCTAAGAATTAAGTTAAATACACTATGTACAGCAGTGGAATGGAACACTGAGTTGTTGGAAACTTGTTACGGTCGGTCCAAAAGGAGCTGACATTCACTTCAGGGCAGCCTTGTTCTTCAGCGGCAGGAAGGCGGCCATCAGGCATCCAGCTGGGCGAGAAAAGAGATGGATTCGAAGGATTAGGAGGGCACTTTGCCAGCTTTTGACTTGCCAGACTTACCCAGCATGAACGAACTGATCATTAGGAACGGAGGCACACAGCCCAAACCCATCAGAGCGGGGAAGAAAATATTTCCTAGCAGCGAGCCCAAACGGCCGAACATCATTTCCAGCGAGACAATCATTGTCCTCAGCGAGGTGGGAAAGAGATTGACTGAGGCACTGATCACCGAAGTGGCCGATATGCTGCCCATGGTCACGAACAGTGAGGCAATGGCCACTGTAGAAATCGCCGTATTGGACCAGTACATCCCAATAGAACAGCAGCCAGCTACGAAGAGTCCCAGGGCTAAAAATGAAATTTAGTTTGATTAATTAATGTAGCTTAAATGATATGATAAGACTAACATAATCTTTACTCATATCAAAATGATATCAATAACTTGATCTTTAAAAAATACGAAATTACCATGCACATATTAATCTGATATTTTCTCAATTTTTTTCTGTGTGGTACTGGCACTTACTCATGATGCGCTTGACGCCTACGAGATTCACCAGGAATCCGGCCAGCATGTAGGCCACTAAGCCTGCAGCGGCCACAATCAGATTGTTGGTATACGAAGAGGCGGTTATATTCACAACGCACTCGGCGTCGAGATCTTTTCGAGTGGCTGCCTCCAGCTGGCTTTGGGTGCGATTAACACTGAACTCCAGGATGTTGCAAATGCTCGTCGATTCCGATTGTCCCGCCATCAGCTGTTCGTACTCGTTGATCGAGGCAAAGAGCTGCGGCAGCCACAATCGCATGGTGTTCTGTCTATAAGAAGGGGGATAAATTATAGATTTATATTGTATATATTTTACTATATTGTAGATATATTTTTGATACTAAAAATAATCGATATTATCGATATATAAGGCGTGGGACTAGAAAACAAATAATTAGGGTTGTCGCATATAAATTATATATTTATATATTTTTTTTATAATATTATTGATACCAAAAATAATCGATATTATCGATATAATATCAACAACCCTACACATAATGTCCATTGTTCAATTAGGCTTGGAATAATTTTACTCAATATCGTATCTTTTGTAAATAATATTTAAGATTACTTACCCCAAGAGCACGCAGAAGTTGAGAAGGTAGACCCAGAGAGAGAGACCCAAGTAGGGCTTTGTGAAAAGTGGACGCAGCTGAGTGAAGCCCGAACGCAGAGAGCTCTTCTTGGCGTCCTGTTTCTCCGGATCCTGAACCTCAGCTGGAGCCTCGATGGCCACTTTGATCTCAGGCGGTGGAACAGTTTCACCCTTCTTGTGCCTTTTCTCCGGAACGATTACTTCATTGGCCAGCAGTTTGATCTTAAGAAGATTTAGAGATTTATTAACTTATCAGGATTAATGAGACTTTTGTTCACTTACTGGAAACGAGTCCTTGGGTTTTCGCGAGTTCAGATGGTATATGAACTTAAAGGCAGCCATGGCTTCCTGATTGCGTCCCTTGGACATGAGAAACTTGGGGCTCTCCGGGAATAAAAAGAAGAGCATAAAGCTCGCGAGGCTGGGTAGCGCGGTGATGGCGACGAAAACTTGCCAGGATGTGACTGCAATGGAAGGGTTTTTGTAAAATTAGATCGATTTGTGGAATTATATTTAATTCGTTAGCTATAATGCATCAGTTTTCTTTCCCTGATTGAGTAATAGTTGTGATATCTTCCCATAAGGCTTAAGCACTCGTAGTCTAATTATTTATACACACTACTTTTTTACTCTACTCCATAAACTTGATCTTGGTATCATAAAAGGTTTGCTTGAAATCTGGTCAAACAACCTGCTGTTCGTCTGCTGTTATTATTTTGCTTCACTACTACTTGTATTTCACTTTATGGAATCATTAAAGCTATTATATGATTAAAGCTATGATAATAAAAAATTGTAATAGAAAAAAAAATAAATCAAATTTTTAATTAAATTCCCTGAATAAATGGAAAAATATTTGAACCAATGTCGAAAATATTAGATATTAAAAACATAATAATAATAATATTTTTATTAAAAAAAGTATATCATATTGGAATCAAAGTTTAAAATATTTAAGTTACCTATATAATTGTTAAAAACCGCAATGGATAAAATCATACCGAAAAACTATTTAACTTGAATATTAAACCCTTGTATTTACTACGTTATTTTTTTTATCAGTGCAGCTTTAACAACCTGTCGGTTGGCGCGTGTAGTTCATGTATCGTTTGACTGATTGCTCGTCCCCAAAGGGGGCTGAGCCTCCGGTATCATCAGCTGTTCGCTGGCAGCTCATCCGGCTATCCGTTTATCAGCTATCAGTTATCAGTTCGCTTATCGCCCATCGCTGACCTTATCACAATTAAACACGTAACTTAACACACACGCCCTCTGGCGGAACTTACGCGTCAAAGTCCAGATATGCAGGTCCCACGTTTGGGGCAATATCAGCATGGCCAATCCCGGCAGCGTAAGCGTGGCAAACGAGAACATGATGCCCACCATCATCATGATGCGCTGGCGATGCTTCCGTCCATGGAGTTCCGTCAGATAGGCCATGAGCACGGCGAAGGGGCCACTCATGCTGGATGATGAATCAAAAATTATTGGCTGGTTTACAGGACAGTTTTACTAATAAAATCGATCAACTTATTCCTAATACTCTGCCGTGCAGAAATGGAAATATATCGATATTTTCGATAAATATAGGAAAACATCGATATTTCTGATAAACATAGATTTTGGATAAATATCGAAAATACCGGTAATGCCAATATTTTTCAAGCTCTACTACCGAGGGTAACCCCTGGTTTCTCGATTACTCACCAGAAGCCACCCAGATACTTGAAGACCATCAATTGGATTCGATTCTGACTGAAGGCTCCGCCCAAAACGCACAACGTATCGGCCGCGTAGCCCACTATGAGGAGATTTCTCCTGCCCTTCGTGTCGGCCAGGTAGCCCCACATCACCGCTGAACTGATCATGCCCGCATAGGTGATGGCATTCAGGATGCCCTTGTCCAGCAGGCTCAGCTTGAGATCGCACTCGGCGCTGGGCAGGATGTAGGACATCGTGGAGGTCTCGTAGACGGTGCCCATTGCCGCCGGAACGGCGGCCACCAGCAGCAGGATGTTGAACATCCCGAAGCCAGCTGCATCGATGGCGGTCTCGAAATCCGCCGGAGCCACTGGAGCCACCTCATCGTTTGGCTGCTCTGCGATCTTGGGCAGCTTGGAATCAGCTTTGGATTCTCTGGATTCTTCACCCATCTTCGCTCAGTGCTTAATGCTTGGATCGCCTCTGCTAACTGAACCTGAGGCGTTGGGCGGATACGTTATATCTTGCCCAAGGCGCTGGGGCCTCAAATCATCTCTGTTTGACAATAGACGGAGAGAAAACAAGTGATGCTGATGCCAATTGTGATAATCTAGCGACTAGAGGTTACCCTCGGAAGTAGAGCTTGAAAAATATTCGCATTACCGGTATTTTCGAAAATATATGTTTATCGGAAATATCGATATTGTCCGATAATTATCGAATGTATCCATAGTTTTCAATTTCTAATCGGCAGAGTATCACGAATCAGTTTACCTATATTGTAAGCCAGTAGATTTTGTACAAATCCAGAATTAACCTTGGGAATTTCACGAGGAGAGTTCATTAAGGTCGCAAAACCCAACCCAGTGACCCCGCGAGTTCACCCTTTAATCCATCAACTCCTACCACTTTTCGGCGGTGGCATGAAAACAATTAAACGCCTCCCTGTTTGTTCAGCGGTTTATGGGCTCCTGCCCATCATCCGCATCATCAACAGTATCAACAGTATCTCTCTGTATCTCCCCTCGTCGTACTACATATATGTGTGATCACTCCGCCTGCGACTGTCCACGCGAATGGGAGGCTTTATTGCCACCGTGATTCGGTTTACTGATTTGTCGTTTCCCTTTTAATGTCCAACCCTTTGGGTATATCGCTTAGCTGGAAAGTTTGAATTGGCAAAAAAGGGGGAGTGTTTTTATTAGAAATATCTTGATAGAGATTCGGTTTCTAGGTAAAAGTGTCCACGATTGTGCATGTTTGCTTAATTTGTTCCAACACTTGATAATTATACTTATTTATTGTATCGCAAAAAACATTAATTCAATCTTAGTACGCAATTTTTAAATAATAATGTTGTAAAAATGTTACTTCTTTTATAATAATCATGGATTATATACGTTTATAATCTATAAAAAAGTACAGTACACTCCAAAAAGCACTTAATTCTGATAATAATGAAAGGGAGGAATGTTGTAAAACGTTTAGAGCAAAAACAACTTTATAGATCTTTAATAGAGGCAATTAGACTTTAAGATTATTTTTTCAATTGGTATTCGATAGTCGCAATTAGTGCGTTTTAACTTCGCACCTGTTTTGATTGCGGCTCCTATGACGACATGGCTCTGGTGCCTCTCTGATTTACGTGGCCTCCCCGTTTACCCGTTTCCATTACCATTACCATTACCATTTTCCAGTTGCCGGCTTGGCAACCGTTGCGTCGTCATCTCGGGCTAAACTAATTGCGATGATTACGGGTTATGAGTTGGTTTCCCTGCAAAACTTTTCGGGATTACGATTACTCATGTAGGAGCTTAGTGCTGTGGTCTGGTTTTCTGGTTCTGGTTCGGTCTAGCCTGGTTTTCGGCGTGTGCTGCGATTTGTTTTCACAGAATCACAGAATCCGAATCTGAACCTGGCCGGCACAGTGGGGTTTCATGGGGTTCTCGTGGGATTTCGTGGGGTCTCATGTGGCATAGATCAGGATTTGATAGTAATTAAGCGGGCTTCAAGCGGAAAAATTCGGGAAAAACGAGTAATTATGAGGAGCTTAGTAAGCAGCGGGAGCTTAAGGCGCAGCTTAAGGGATATATGGCATTGTTTTAGTGTTGACTAATGTTTAAGGGAATTTATTTTTGATGGAATAATCCCAAACAATTTACAAGAAATCCCGAACAAGTGTCATTTGGCCTTAAATAAAACTTGCTTTGTAAATTTACCTGGCGATAAACATTTCAAATATTGTATAAAAACTCTTTGCTTCCTTTTCGATTTAAAAGTTAAATACAAAGACATTCTTGTAGGGCTTTTGTGAAATCCAGATTATCTTGCACTTGCACAAAATGATTCATTCATGGTGCTCAGGGTACAATTTAATTAAGATAAACAAGAATTTGCAAGAGCCATGCAAGAGGAGTATTTACAACGACTAAAAGAGGGCGTTCATTCAAAAGAATCCTGGCTCTTTAAACTCCGAAACCCTTTCGCCTTTCCTCCCATTAACCGCATCGCCTGCTTCTGAGCACTTTCCCTTAGGAGAAAGGAACTCCACCAACACCACCCACTGTATTATTTTTCGCACAGAGGGCCATGACCATGCCCAGTGGCCATAAAAGACATGACGAAATCTAGCCAAGACTGAAATTTTTCCACGCTACAATTTGTTTAATTTCATCAGCTTCAGAAGAAGACTGAGGGGGTGTACGCAAATTTCTTTGCGCTATTATCTAAGTCAAACAGAAGCGGACGAGGCGAGCGCCAAAAGTTTTTCACCTCCGACAATCGGGGCACAAAGTGTCAAGGGGGTGAGAAGTGGGTGAAAGAGCGGGAAGTACACGGGAAAAACTTCGCTGCGATATCATTTTGATAATTGCAGGTCAATAAATGTGTATTCCATGTATAGATTCCAAAATAATAGCCCGAAGAGGCTGATATATGGAGAGGTGTCCAGGCTCGCTTCCCTTAATGCATTGTGAATTTTTTTATGGTGGTATAAAATAATCCATAAAAAAATAAGGATAATAAATACTTTAAAAATATTAGTAATACCAAAAATAAATAATAAATAGAGAAAGTATAAATGGACCCCAGGTTCGAGTCCCTTTTGAATTTTTTTCTCTTTACTTTTTAGCAATTGTGCTGCTATTGTATTGCACAGATTAATTACTAGAGCCAACAAAAGCCCCTTAAAATATCTCAAATCGATTTATGTAATACTGTATTCTTTTTTTCTCCAAGTGCAGTGGCTGTAGTTAACGGCTTTTCATTTTGGACAGCGTCACAACTTGGCAACAAATTGGACTTTTGTTTGTGTTTGTTAAAAGGCTTAATTTGTTGTGCTTTCGGTCTGGCTGGGGAAACATTATGAGAGAGTGCGGAAGGGCTGCTTTTGGTAGGTGGGTGGTTGGGAGTTGTGGGCGGTGGGCGAACGGCTAAAGTGCTTCAAATAACTTGACGCTGTGTCCAAGGTGTGTGGTGTGTGTGTGTGTTGAGGTGTGTCTGCCTAAATCAAGCTCAAACAATTTCAACTATTTGAATTGCCGAGCCATGGCAAGAGCATTAGAGTGCCGGCCCCCGATTACACTGAGCGACATTATCGCTACTAGTAATTAATCAATCGTTATTCCGTACTTATTATCCAATAAGTTAAATCTATTAAAATATGCACTTAAATTGTACTCTACTTAAATTATTATTTATTGCTTTGTAAACGAAATTTACGTTGAAGAGTTTTTCCTTTTCAATCCGCTTAGTGTGAAATGTTTATACTTTGTTATTTCTTTTCATTCTTTCTTTCGTGTAAACTACTTGTTTAAAAAGCTGTGAATTTGTTTGAGTAAGTATTGTATTATGGAAATTTAAGCCCTGTGTTGTGGTTATTTCGAAGACTTTGGAAAAAATAATAATATTAGATTGACTTTTTAATGAACTTCAATTAGAGCTGGAAAAGTATCAACTTTTTCAAATTTTCTTATCGATAATATCGATGTTGTTAAGGAAATAAAGTAAAATATCAAGACTTTGATAGTTTTTCTAAAACTCGTTGTTAATCGTTAGTCATTAGTATCTAACTACTATGCTATTCTTTTTCTCAGTGTGCGGGCACACACACACACACGTGCGTGGGTGCATGTGGCACTCAGCTCCTAACGACGTGCCCAAGTAAATGTCAAACTAATGCCCAAGCTCCGCACCGCAGGAGCCAGGATGCCAAGCCACGAACCCACCACCACCTGCACTTTCATCTCCACCATCAGCACCTTCCCCGAATCCCCCGGATTCTCCGTCCCCATTCCCTTGATTTTGGCCCGACCATTCCACCGCAAACTATCGACGGCCATTGCCAACTCAATAATGTAATGTCCCTCATTGGCGCTTAAAGTTTATGTATGCCCGACCATTTCCAGCATGTTCCTCTGTTTCTAGTGGGTAGTTGGGTTGCAAATTAGAGATGAGCTTGAGTCCGTGGTCATCGGCGAGTTTTAAACATTTTCTAAGACATATTTATAGGTGCTATAGGAAGATACCTTTTCGATTTTGTAGATTGAGTACTAAATAGTCGATTCCTAGAGATCTTTAATTAAAGGCAACATTTTTCTCAAAAAATTCTAAACTACATTAAAGCTTAAACAAATTTGCATACTTTTAAAATATTTCAATCTTTACTCAGTTTGCTTGAATTTCTATATATATATAGTTATATATAGTTATGAGTCTTACCATAATACTAGCAATCGTCAAAAATTTGTCTCAAAATTCAAAACTAGATTTGAGGTTATACAATTTTTTAAAATTACCATTTTTTACCATTAAGCAATGTAATATTTATATTGTAAATGGTATTTATTGGTTTGTATTCCATTATGCCACTTGAAATTCCACTTAAATCAGGGAACACCTCCTTTTATCGTGTCACGCCACCATCCATGAAAGGAAGGGCCGCCATAGAAGGTGCAAAGTTTTATGCAATTTATTGCATTTAACGCGTTCCTCCAACAGCCAGCGACAATCCCCGAGACCCGAGACCCCCGAGCAGCAAGGTGTGTGGTTGAGTGAGATTTTGTGTAGTTGGTAGAAGTGCGCCCGGGAAAACACAATGCCACCGGGGAAAACTAGAGGGCGGAAAAGTGTGATGTATGTATGTAGGTTGTACTGTAGGTTGGCTCGGCGTTCGAGGTTCGAGGCTTCCAATGAGTAAGCGAATTAATGCGTGCGACTATTAGCATAGCAGGTGCCATCGCGTGTTACATTAAACTTTGACTTGAGCCACTTTATCGCCACCTGTTGCCACTTACCACTTACCATTTACCACCTGGATGTCTTGGGGGTTGAAAGCCATCCTTCAACGCACCTTCAACGTCCGTCAATCAAACAGTCAATCAATCAAGCAATCAAGCAGGCCAGTTGACTGGCGCGTAATTGGATGGTTTAGAGAACTTGCTCACTTAATCACTTTAACGGCAGTTCGCCGTCGATTGTGTGATAA